TCTCATTTTTTCTGTCTATTTTGGAAAATATCTCCATTCCCATATCCTTTTAACACCTTTTACATTCTAATTTTCTTTTTTTAAAAAAAATAATTATGAGACATAATAGCATTAACAAATAAATTTTCCATCTCTTGTGAGACTTCTTTTCCTGGGGATGCTAAGCAATGCTTATTCCCTTTTAAGTTTCTAGTTTCAAGCCAATGTTTGATTAAAGTTTTACTGAGGAACCAAATTTATTGAACTTATTTATCATATAACTGAGGGGTTGCTGAGGTGCATGTATGACCGGGGGGTATGCCCTCACCGGAAAGCCTTAACCCAGCCCGAGTCATGCCTTCTCTTCCAAGCCTCCCCCAGATTGTATACTTTAGCCCTCCCCAAATCCAGGAGGCCATGTGTGATAGGGTCAAATTACATACAGTTGGCTGGGAAGAGTGGCTAGATACTCCAGTGAGGGTCCAGTGACCCTGCTTGGCCCTCTTTTAATGAATGAGCACAACCATCAACAAACACAATTGTGATGATGTTTAGTGACCGGGCTCAGCTGAAGTCGTGATGATGGTAGTTATTTCATGCAAAAGGGACTGCTGTATAGCATCATCTTATTAAAAGGACCTGGAATTTAAAAGGATTTGGTGCTAGGATCCACATATGAGGGAGAACATACATCATTTGTTTCTCTGAGTCTGTGTTACTTCACTCAGTATAACAGTTTCTAGATCCATCCATTTACCTGCAAACTTACTGCTGAGTAGAACTCCATTGTGTGACTGTACCATATTTTCGTTAACCACTCATCAGTTGAGGGTCACTTAAGTTGCTTCCATCTCTTACCTATTGTGAAAAAAAGCAGCAACAAACATGGTATTGTGAAAAGAGTAGCAACAAACATGGTTGTACAAGTGTCTCTACAATAGAATGAGTCCTTTCGATATATGCCAAGGAGTGGTATAACCGGGCCATATGGTAGGTTCATTTTTAGTTTTTTAAGAGTTCTCCACACTGTTTTCCATAAAGGTTACACGAGTTTGCAATCCCACCAGCAGTGAATGAGTGTTCCCCTTTCTCCACACCCTCACCATTATTTGGTATCATTTGTTCTCTTGATCCTGGCCAGTTTGCTTGGGGTAAGGTGATACCTTAGGTTGGTTTTAATTTGCATTTCCTTAATTACTAACCGTAAATTTTGAAATGTTTCTTAGCCATCTTTATTTCTTCCTTTGAGAACTTTCTGTTTAGATCTTTAGCCCATCTTTTAATTGGATCATTTGGTTTCTCGATTCTTTGTTATTTGAGTTCTTAATATATTCTGGATGTTAAACCCCTGTCAAATGTGTCACTGGTGAAATTTTTTCCATTCTGTGGGTTTTCCCTTCACTTTTTTGATTGTTTCTTTTTCTGTACAGAAGCTTTTTAGTTTAATGAGGTCCCACTTATTGATTGCTGGCCTTAATTCCTGAGCAACTTCTGTCCAATTTAGGAAATCCTTTTCTATACCTATATCTTGTAAGTTACTGCCAATATTTTCTTCTGATAGTTTCAGGATTTCCCATTTCACAGTGAGGTCTTTGATCCATTTGGAGTTGACCTTTGTGCAAGCCGAAAGATAAGGATCTAGTTTCATTCTTCTACAGGTGGAGATCCCGTTTTGCCCGCACCATTTGTTGAAGATGCTGCATTTCCTCCACTGTGTGTTTTTGGCTCCTTTGTCAAATATCAGGCGGCTGAAATTGCATGTACTCAGGTTTGGATCTTTAGTGATGTTTCATTGATCTATGTGTCCAGTTTGTCACCAGTACCATGCTGTTTTTAAGACTACAGCTCTGTAGTATACATTGAGATCTGGTATAGTAATCCCCCAGCGTTGCTCTTTGTGCTCAGATTTATTTACTCTGTGTGAGTATTTGTGTGTGTGTCTGTGTAGATGTCTATAGAAGCCAGAGAAGGTGTTGGATCCACTGTAGCTGGAATTACAGGCAGTAGTAAGCTGCCTGATGTGTGTGCTGGGAACTGAACTCAGGTCCTCTGGAAGAGCAGCAAGTCCTCTTAATCACTGAGCCACCTGTCCAACCTCTGATATATTTAGTTTCATTCCAATTGTCTAATACATTTTCCCAATAGTAATGTTTAGATATTAGATCTTTGCCAATTTAAAATATTCTTGCTGGGAGTGGTGGCAGAGACAGGCAGATTGTGAGTTCTAGTTCAGCCTGGTCTACATAGTGAGTTCCAAGCTAGCTGGGGCTTCAGGGAGACCCTGTCTCAAAAAGAAAAAAAAAAAAATTCTTAGTCTAGGGATGTGGCTCAGTTGGTAAAGGGCCTGTCTTGTATCCATGAAACCTAGATTTCATCTCCAGCACTGCATAAAGCGGGTGTGCATGCCTGTAATCCTAACATTTGGGAGGTGGAGGCAGGTGGATCAGAAATTAAAGGTCATTCTTTGCTACATAGTGAATTTCAGTCTA